CAAAAACCCAAAAAAAAAAAAAAAAAAAAAAAAAAAAAAAGTGGGGTGTGTGGCTCAGTGTGAAGACCCTGGGTTTAATCTCCAATACTGAAGAAATTAAAGAAAAAAAATTAATGAGAAAAGAAGTCTAACACATGTTCAGGCAAAAAAACAAAATAAAAAACAAAGCCCAAAAGGTACCAATGGCATCACTTATACTCCAAAGAAGGGTCCTGGGGCAGCTTTGCAAAGGCAGATGTCTTCCCCTTCCTGCCCCAGAGAAAGGATTTCATTGATCAGACAGAGCCATTTCCAAATGAGAAGGGCAGCCTGGAACAGCCATGGCATAGTACTCTCAGGGTTCAGGATCCCTCTTCCCTTCCTCTCTACTTCCCTCCCTCCCTCTTCTCCTTCCCCTCTACAGCACAGTATCTCATGCATGCTAAGCAAGTGCTCTACCACTGAGCTTCCCCCCTAACAATCCTGTACACACCATTTCTGCTGTGCTGGGGACAAACTCCAGGGTCTATGCACTGAGCTACACCCCCAGTCCTTTTGTATTTTGAGACAGAATCTTGTTAAGTCACTAAATTGGACTCAAACATTTTTTCCCCTTTTTTAAATTTTTGGGCTCCAAACTCTGATCCTCCGGCTTCAGCCTCCCAAAGTGCTGGGTTATAGGCATGCACACACCCAGCTTCCCCACTTGGTTATTTTGTCTCACTATGTAGTGCAGGCTAGCCTTAAATTCACATCAAACTTTCTGCCTCAACCTCCCAAGTACTGGGATTACAGGTGTGTACCACCATACCTGGTTCCCCAGCCCTTTAAAAAAAAATTTTTTTTTTTGTAAGACAATCTCACTACATATGCCAGGTTGGGCTCAAACTTGTGATTCTCTTGCCTTTCAGCTTTCAGAGTATCTTGCATTACAGATCACAGGCAAGTGCTACCATGTCCAGCTCTGGAATTTCTTTCAAGTCTCTTGAACAAAAGCTGCCACATTTTTGTGCGCTATTTTATAAAACAAGTTGAAAGGGGTAAAATGTATAAATACAGTATAAATTGTGCTTACTGATTTTGTTACATGCTGTAATTTTTAATGACAGGATAATTATTAGCTTCCCATATAAAGGTTTTCTCCTTTTAAAATGTATACCCTGAAGTGTTAATAGATAGATATTGCACAGCCTAAAGTATAACACTGTGGGATCACATAGCTTTAATATACCCAAACCACTGTGAAACTTACTAGGTATCTTGATATTGGTATTTTATATCTTCCTTCTGTCAACCTCAAAAGTCAATGGATCACTCTCCTTGTTATGGCTTGTGTCTAGATGTTCCCCCAAAGCCTCATGTAGTCATAGGTGGGGCTTTTCAGAGGGGGCTGGATCTACGGTGATAGAGCTGGGATTAAGGGTGCATGACTACTAAGTTAGTCCACTGACTGGTTTGATATAGTTCAGGGTGTGGATAGTGGGAAGGCTCACTCTGGGTGTAGATGGCATCACTAAAAAGGCAGGAGGACAGGAGGAAAGGACCTGAGTTCAATCCCCGGTATCAAAAAAAGGCAGGTGGTTTGGTAGGGATAAAAGGGAGAGCCTTCTGCCTGTCCTACCCTGCCACAGACTGTTTCTCCTCTGCCATGCCATCCTGCCTTTGAGCCAGCCAATGGTAAGACTGTAACCTTTACAAATGGTGAGCTGAAATAAACCCTTCCTCCTTTAACTTTTGGCATTGGGGTATATTGTCTCAGCAATACTTACTTAGAGAAGTAACAAAGACACACATTAAATAGTATTTTAAAATGGACCTCACAGACTTCTTCCACATTTTAAATGAGTTTACACTTGCCAAATAGGGAAGAAAAGGTCAATTGAAATGCAAATTATAAATGCTTAACATTAAATTACATATGGCCATTGATATAATGAAACTTCAATCTAGTTCAAGATGACCTTCCAGGGTTTCAGGTCACCTTAAAAAGTGAGGACTTTCAACTACAGTAATTAATAATTTGAGGGGGTATCAAGAAACACTTAACGAGCACACAGCAACAGCAGCTTCAATGTATAATGTATAAAAGAGGTCCAGGTGCTCCAGGAACAGTTAGTCCCTAAGGTCCTTCATAGTGCTGCCAAAAGCATCCTTAGAACCCTCTTTGCTGTAGAAGGGTAATTTCTACCATGACACCTATACTTTCTCTGCAGAAGTCAAGATCTGAGTTGGAAGTGTATGCCGGCATGAAACTGCCCAATAAACCAAACCTTTGATATTGGCCTCATTATCAGCAGTTCTAATGTAGTAACTGATACAGCTGGCCCAGGCAGGACTGTGAAAGCTGATTATAGGACTGAATTTTCCTAAGCACTCTTTGCTGACATGAATATAGAATATGCTTGGTCTGAAGAGTACACAAAAATTTCTGATTTCTCCAAAATAACCCTTGTTTTGACATCTTAGGTCTCTAGTATGCTTAGGTTGAAAAAATAAAAAATAAGACGAAATGTTTTTCCTGTAAGCTTTCAAAAATCAGCCCCCAATACAACAAAAATTTTGTAATTTTAAACGCTTAAAAATTATTGTTATTATATTTCACAGAAATTAAACAAAGCCAAGAGGGGTGATGCACACCTGTAACCCCAGCAAGTGGGAGGTTGAGGCAGGAGGGCTGCCACAAATTCAAACCAGCCTGGTTTATATAGAAGACCCTGTTTCAAAAAAATTTTTATACAAAATTATCAGCATCCACAAATAAACACAATTATGCATTTTAAAAAGTTACAGGTCCATAAGTGTTAGAATTAGAGGCAAACTTTTGAAAAAAATAAAGTTACATCTCTGCCTCAAAACCTCTCCAGACATGGTGGCACATATTTGTGATCCCAGCACTCACAAAACTGAGGTCGGAGGGCCTCAAATTTAAGGTTAGCCTGGGCTACACAGTAAATTCAAGATTAGCCTGATCTATATAGTGGGATATTGTCTCAAAAACAAAACAAAAACAAAACAAAACAACAAAAACTAAGAACAAGAAATGACACAAACGTTTTGGGTAGATGTTTCAAACATAAATAAAAAAAATAAAGCCTTGTCTCAAAAGTGAAATCTTCACTCCCGTACTGTAGCCCTAGCACTCTTAGGAGAATGAGTCAAAACAATCAGACCTAGCTTTAGGGATGTAGTAAAAAATTTTAAAAGGTCTGAAAAAATTTTAAAAGGCTGAGGATCTCTGGATGTGATGGCACATGCCTGTAATCCCAGCACTTGGGAAGCTGAAGCAGGAAGATTGCCACAAGTTCCAGGCCAGTTTAGACTACATAGTTCAAGGCCAGTCAGCCTGAGCTACACAGCAAGACCCTGTCTCAAAAAAAAAAAAAAGAAAAGAATATTTTTATTAAAGATCATTTATATTAGCCAGCATAGAGGGGTAGGGCTACAGTCCCAGCACTCTGGGAAGCTAAGGCAGAAGGGTGGCGGCAAATTTGAGCCTAGCCTGGGCAATTTAAAAATTTCATGAGACCCCGACTCAAAATAAAAAATTAAAAAGGGCTGGGGATTTAGCTACATGTGAAAGCCTTGGGTTCAGGCCCCAGCAAACACACATAGACACACACACACACACACACACACACACACACACACACACACACACTTGCTTACTCTATGAGCCCCCAGCCTTCCAGCACCAATAGAAAGCAGGACGGCTATCTCAAGGGAAAGTCCACACATGGCGCACACACACACACACACACACACACACGCACACTCACGCCCCCGCACACACACATAGAGAGACACACACACACACACACACACACACACACACACACACACACACACTTGCTTACTCTATGAGCCCCCAGCCTTCCAGCACCAATAGAAAGCAGGACGGCTATCTCAAGGGAAAGTCCACACATGGCTATTTCCCTGCAACCTGAATGAGCTATTTCTGTTTTCTTCTACCCCCTGAATGGAACATGTGCTGCTACCAATGATAAAAATGGAGTTTTCATACAAAGCCTTGGTTTTTAGAAAACTTCAGCTACTACTGAGAGCTTGGTAACAAGCCAAAAGTCAGGGCTTTTCTGATGAAACTGGTGGCAATATTAACAAAGATGAGTTTTAAATTTTGTATACCGAAGTATGTGATTATCTGTATTTTCCAAGTGAACAATACAGTTACAAAATAACATAAAGAGATCCATCCAAAACACAAGGCAGACCAAAGGGCTTCAAAGTTACAGTGTGAAAATCCCTGGATATGCTTTCAGATCCCACATTATGATTTATTAATCTCTGAGGAACTTCCAGTCATAGCCAGGAATGGTGGCCATGCCCAGCTACTCCTAAAGCTGAGGTAGGAAGATTCAAAGACGGAGTGAAACACTGTTTCAAAATAAAATGGGTTCCGGAGGTAATTCAGTGGTAGAATGTTGCTGAGTATGCCCCACCATTGGGGTCAATCCCCAGTAATACAGGGGCAGAGAGGGGCAGACCGGAACAGGAGGGGAGGTTGCAAAACAATGTAAAGCAACATGAAGCTGCTGTTTCTTGTATTTCATTTTCTTTTGGAAAACATAGCCATTTTTCTCTTCTTTTACTTTTGCGTTTTGAGACAGGGACTCACTGTGTAGGTTCAGGCTGGCCTTCAACTCACTATGTAGTCCAGGCTGGCCTCAAACTTGCAATCCTCCTGCCTGGGCCCCTCCAGTGCTGGGATTATAGGTGTATGCCCCCACACCTGGCAACATAGCTATTTTTCATAAAAAGAACATGTTAACATATAGGGGGTTTATTATACAGTCCTTTCTGAATGAATTAATATTCTTAGTTTTCAGCTTCAATTTCTAATACAGTAAATATCAAGATATAACACATCCACAAAAACCTTGTGTCCTCAATATTTTTTTGTTTTCCAGACAAGGTCTCACTATGTAGTCAAGCTGGCCTTAACATGTAGCTCAAGTTGGACTTGAATTTGCAGCAAGTCTCCTACCTCAGCCTCCCAAGTGCAGGGATTACAGGGCGTGTAATCCTGTCCTCAACAATTTTTAAGTGTGAAAGAGTCCAAGGCCAAAAATTTGATAAACACTAATATAAAATAAGCAAAATAAGAATTCCTGTTAAATTTACAAAGGCAAGAATAATAATGTCCAGTCCTTGATAAAGATGCAGAGAAACCATCATTCCCATATGCTGCTGAAAGAAGGAAAAACTGACAAAATAACTCAAGAAAACTTTGAAAACATATATCAAAAAAGGGAGGCTTGGTATGAAACTCACGGCTTCATGCAATGCTAAGCACACATTATATCACTGAGCTATATCCACAAGTCCCAAAAGACTTAAAAAAGCCTGGAGTGGTGTTACTCATTAGTTAATCCCAGCATTGTGGAAGGCTGAGAAAGGAAGATCACAAATTAAAACCTAGCCTGGACAAATTAGCAAGACTCTTTCTCAAACAAATTTTAAAAAGTAGAACAAACAAAATTGGGGGGAAGGGAAAGAGATGTAGCTCAATGGGAAGGCCCTGAGTTCAATCCTTAATGCTGAAGAAAGATAAAGAAAGGAGTGAAGATGGAGAACCTTAGAATTCTCAATAATTCTAGGAATCTACTTGACGACAATATTAAAATGTGACAGTATTTTTGCTACAAGGCTATATGACAAATTATGTCATAGACAAAATTTTTCTTTTTTCATTATAAATTGGGATGGGGATTTAGTTCAGTGGTAGTGTGCTTGCCTAGCATGCTTGGCATGGGCAAGGAAAAAAGAAAGTTAGAAACCAGGCTGGGGGTAGCCCATCTGTGATACCTGTTTGGGAGGTGAACTCAGAAGCACTGCAGGCTCAAGCCCAGCTGAGCCTAGAGTAATGCTGCCTGTCTCCAAAAAATGTTTTTTATAGGCATGGAGATGCAGCTCAGTGATGGAGCGTTTGCCTAGCATGGGCAAGGCCCTGCGTTCAATCCCCAGCAACAGAAACACAAAATCCATTATACATGTAGGAATTCAATTCTATATATTTGAAAGCATATACCAAGGTCTTAACAAATAGGTATTAAGAAGTTTGGGGTGATTAGTATTTCTGTAAAATGTTTCAATCTTTTAGGTTTTAGTTATCAAGTCAAACATGGTTTAACCACAGGTGAAACAATATAAAGGTATGTAAGAAAACCACCACTCCCATATCCCACAGGCACAGCCTGGCCAGTTTCACCTGTGGCAGCCACTGTACCAACCCAGTTCAAACATCCCTGTACTGTGTTCACAGACAGGTAAGACATCAACCCACACACTTAACATATGTCTACAGTGCATACTATGTCCCTTATGTATTTTCACAAAAATCTTGATTTTTCTTCCACCTGCTCAACCATAAGCCTGTCCTGCTCAAAAGATACTGATTAAAAATAAATAGTAAGATACTCATTTTATTCACTTCAATAGCTATATGTTTTACAGAACATGTATGTGCTATAATATATTAACGTTTACTATTGGTTTTTCAAGATACTTACAGATTTTAGATTTTTAATGCTGCAATAAACATCCTTGCATACATATTCTGCTATTTTGATATTTTGCATAGGACAAGTTCCAAAAGTGAGTTTGCTCTGTAAATAATACATACGCATGTTTAAAAATTAGTAGATAGGGTGGGGGATTTAGCTCAGTGAAACTGTGCCTGCCTCGAAATGCAAGGTCCTGAGTTCAATCCTGGGCACCAAAAAAAAAAAGTATTGTTATATTACTCACCAACATTGTATGAGATACCATATTCTCCCCAACACTGGATGTACTTTTTAATAATCTGGTAATTCACTATTAGTTTAATTGGTATTTCTCTGCCTGTCATGGAAATTGAGGTTTTAATGTTTATTGACCATTCATATTTCTTCTTCTGTTCATGTCCTTTGCTCCTATTTCTGTTGCTGCCATGGTCGTCATCCAAATAATTTTTCCTGAACCTTACTTACACTATAGGCATAGGGACATGGCAGAACAGACGACCACTCACCTAAATGGGGAAACAGATCTGTGTCCAGCTGATGCTTCTGGGTGTACAGTTTCACCAGTCTCTGCAGCCGACTTATGCAGGGAAAGTGTGGAGAGAAGGCCGTGGCTTTCATGAGGACCCGGTCAGTCCGGGGCGGGTCCGAAGCAGGAGCCCTGCTGGCTGGAAGGAGGGGCGGAGGCCTCTTGTGGGATGCCTGCCGTGCTTGTGCTATGGCATGTGTGGTGGGGGCCACTCCCTGCACTGGTGCGCTGGTGTTCTGAGGCTGAGGTGACTTGCAGAAGGAGCCCTGTGGTGGAGGTTTTAAAGACGTGGATAAAGGTGACAGGTGGGAGTGCTGCTGCGGAGGCTGCTGCTGCTGAGAAGATGCAGGAGGGGGACTAAAGTGCTCTTGTCGAACTTTTAGAATCTCGGTCTCTCTCTGGCGCTGCCGGTTCTGGGCCAACTTGCTCTGCAACTTCCTTCTCACAGTTACCCCTTTCTTCAGGTCATCGTCTTCCTCATTGAACGCAAATGGATCTTCGAACTCAGTGTCCAGGTAGTGGAGAGGGACCCTGGCCCCAGGTGGAGAGAGGGACATGCCATCCAGTCCATTGGGCATCTTCAGGGCCAGCGTGGGCACTGCCAGGCTGAAGGCCATGGTATCCATCTGGTGCCTGACCTTTACCTCATCTATAGGATCATTCTTTTTCTTCCTCTCTTTTTTCGGGATAAAGCCAAGTACCTGCAAGTGGCTGTTGCAGTACCTTTAAAAATACACACACATGTGGGAAAGTGTTCATTAGACAGAGAACAGAGTATAAAACTACATATTGCAAAATGTGAAGCCTAATACATAGAAAAATTGCACAACTACAGTAACTCTTGACATTTGCTGATTTAATATGCAGCTTCCACTATATTGGAGCAATCCCAAATCACTGTTTTTTTTTGGGGGGGGTACCAGGGATCGAACTTGGGACCTTCTGCTTGCAAGGCAGGTGACAGAACCACAGAGCTAAATCCCCAGCCCAAGTCACTGTAATTTAGCTGAGGCAAATTTGTACACTGCACATGTACAGGTGGCCAGACAGCCAGCTAGTGAGCGCCAAGATGACGTTTGAACAGCTATCTGAGTGCCTTACCGGGCTTGATTATTATCCATGCACGACATACAGAGCAACCTCTCAGCAGTCTGAAGGACCTCCTCAAATTCACTTACGGAAAAAAATATGTTCCAATGCTATTCAAGTACGGGGAGTGTCACAAAGATCTTATGACATAACCCTCAAGAACATCAAATGCTTCTTTCCACACACATACACATGCACGCAGAAAGAAGGAAGTGAGGGGGATATACAAGAATGAAAGAGAAACTCAGTGTGGTGTTACATGTGGGGTGGCTGAAACAGGGAAGGCTGCCTGAGCTACACAGGGAGATCTTGTCTCAAGAAGAAAATAAAGGAATAGGGGTGTAGCTTGGTGGTAGAGTGCTTACCAAGCATGCATGAGGCCCTGGTCCAATGTCCCTAACTCCCCCAAAAAGAAGAAAATAAAAGAATGGAAGGATAAATAAAATAATAAAACTAGATAGCAGAATTCTAGGTAAACTGAGATGCTCAATAGCCAGATGTCTAGCACCAACCCAGAGCAGACACCAAAAAATGCCCTTTCTACATATGAGGAAACTACGCTTTATAGAAATGAATGTGCCCCAAACAACTTTCTTCTTGGAAAGTGACACACCTGAGATCTAAACTGAAATCAAGGCTCATGGTCCACCCAGGTGGCACACACCCATAATCCCAGCTTCTCTGGGTGCTGAAATATTAAGACTGCAAGCTTAACATCAGCTTGGGCAACTTGGCAAGTCCCTGACACAAAAAATAAAAAATAAGAGACTAGGGATATAGGGCAGTGGTGGAGTGCTTGTGTAGAATATATAAGGCCCTACCTGATTCAAGCAAGGTTGTGGTGGGGGTGGTTTAAAACTCTTGAAGTGTCTCATTAATCTTCACCAGTGAGCAATTTTTGTAATGTAAATGCTATTATTAAAATACTATGAAGAGATAGAGTCTTTTTTACATAATGGGAAATTAGAATACATTTTTATGGCAAAAGACTCTCTGAAAATCTGTAGACTTTTGACCAGGAAAATGGCCACTGAAATATTCTTCCTACAGTTCCATGCGATGCCATAAACAGTATTCCGTGTTAAACAAATCTGGAAATGCTAGCTTAAACAAAGTTATACAATGATTTTGTTATTGTTTCTGCTCAAAAACTTCTCAAAGCAGTTTGTATAACATGTATTATGAAGTTCCAAGAGGGACATGTATCCATCTGGCACTCTTACCCAAAGTTATTCGAAGCTGGAACCTTTTTAAAAATTTTTTTGAGATAATGTAGTTCACGCTGGCCTCAAACTCACTGTGATCCTCCTGCTTCAACCTCCTGAGTGCTGAGATTACAGGTGTGCATCACATGTGGCTCCAAAAATGGAACCTATTATTATTTCACACAAGTGCAGTCTCCACAGAGCACACCTAAGCCCACATCCCTTACACAAAGCATATTCACAAAGCTGTGGCTAACCGGGAAAGCAGTGTTGGGAATAACAGCTCAACCAAGACGTAAAACAATAATAGTAGTGAATGGTTTTTGTTGCTAGGGCTTTTTTTTTTTTTAAAGTAGGGAAAGATGAGATGGTTGGTTGGCTGTTTCTGTTTAGAAATCAAACTTCTCTGCTCATTTACACACTGGCCCAGCTGGTGCTGTCTGTGTGGGTCAAAGTGCAACATAGCAGGAGGAACCTGCATCCCTAATCCTCCCCCAAGTCTTCCTTACAGCCACTGGGGTCACACATGCCACACAGTCTGCACACTGCAAATCTGCTTCTTCTAAGAGGGAAAGGACTCACAACAAGATCAGAACAGCTCATGCGATTGTGATAAGCATTTAACATAAGTACACAAATACAAATGTCCAGAGTACAGGACAGCTACAGAGGGGAACAACTGCTGATGGGGCAGAGCTTCTGGGGGAGGACAGAAATGTTCTACATTAGATGGTGAGGATGTTGCACAATCTTGCAAAGCAGGAAAAAGGACATTAAAATGGGTCAAGTATATGGTAGGTTGCTCATGACATCATTCAGCTGTTTTTAAAAAGTAAATGCGTAAGAAACAAAATTTCTCTGCATTAAAAAGTAAATGCGTAAGAAACAAAATTTCTCTGCAGATGTATACTATTACATATAACAGAAACATAACAAAAGTTAAATTTAGAGGTAATTATATAAAATAGCTGGTTTAATAAAGCTACTTCTATCTAGTACTCAGGGGGGCTGAGGCAGGGGATCACCTAGACTTCAAGGCCAGCCTAGGCTATATGGTGAGTGCAAGGCCAACCTAAACTACACAGGGAAACTCTGTCTTAAAAAAAAAAGAGAGAGAAAAAAGGAAAAATGGAATCTTATTTTCAAAAGACTATCCTATGATACTATAACATTTATATACAGCTTTAATATATTACACTACACAAATTCAACCTGGATTTCTTGAGGCTTGACCACCTTCTGCTTACACTTTAACTTATTTATTTTCAGACAACCCTACAAATAAAAATATTAGTATCAACTGCATGCATATGGTCACAGCTAATTGTAAAAAAAGTACATGTAACTCGGTACTTATTAAATATAGCTTCTCTTGACTTTAGAAACTCAAACGTCCTTTTCTTGCTTATCATGTTCTAAGAAGAAGAAACTAACTTTGAAGACAAAGGTGATAGCAGATGCTATATATATACATTTTGTTGTTGTTTTTGGTTTTTTTGTTTGTTTGTTTTTTGAGACAGGGTCTCACTATGTAGTTGAGACTGACCTGGAACTCACTATGTAGCCCAGGCTGGTCTCGAACTCACAATGGTCCCCCCCCTCCCTCAGTGCTGGGATTACAGGGAGATTAATATTTTAAAGAAATTCAGGGCTCTATTAGTCTCGCTGTTAACTATTATGATGATATCTGCTTAACTTAAATGAAAAAAAAATCCAAGGTTGGCAATCACAACTATGATAACCTGAACTGATGGCAAAATTATAGGGAATTTACAATGAGTGAGGAAGAATTAACCCAAGCCCAGCAATTCTTCATGTTAGAAGAGGGCCGGGGAGAGAAACTGCTGTTTTCCATCTGTTAAATCCAACCTGATAGAGATGCTCAGCCTAATGCACAGGTCCCTTTCTCACCCTGGATTAAACTTTTACTCCTTGCCTCACTAAGCAGCTGTTTCTAACTTTCAAGCAGTGCAGTTAGAACCCTATATTGCTCATTCAAAATTCTAAAAGAGGTGCCTGCAGGCACAAGGGCCCAAGTTCAAACCCAGTACCCCTCCACCCAAATTGCTAAAGGACCATTCCCAAATCACCACAAGGCACACACACACATCCTCGCGGGATCTCTACCAACACAAATTCTGTTTCACACTAAAAGTGAAAAAAGTGCTCACCATGACAAAAAACATGACTCTTTTTAAACTACTTTATGCAGGTGACATTTGAACAGGGATGAAGGGAGGCTGTGCCTGTGTGTGTTAAGGTAGAATTAAAAGGTTCACATTTTCTAAGTAAAGACAATAAATATCTAAAACTTTTGGATCTCTATAATGTCCCACAGTGACCAATATGGTTTCTAGAGAATTGACAAAAAGCACAAAGAAGTTTATGTTAAACAGTGTGAATTTTCCTAAGAATATGAAAGACACCAGTGTAAGACACTTTAAAAAATAACTCCAATTTTTACTTTTTAAATTTTTGCAAAGCGTACATTCATAATTTTAGCAATGAAACCTATCTTAAAGAAAAATACAGTTTCTAAATTATGGTAAACACAATCTGAACTTTTAAAAAAGGAAAGAATATAAAACAATGTCAAATACTATTTGGAGTGTTTCCAAATAATTATCTTAAATTCTTTTTCAATTAAGGACATAGTCTTTAATGCCTTTCAATCACAGACTTCAAAACCTATCAGCAATTATAACTCTAAGTAGTTCCTATAATTTCTCTTGCTAAGCAGATGATGAAACTAAGAAGTCAAGAACTATTTGTAAGGCCACAAACCAAACAAATCAGTACTAATGCTTCAAGTTTCAAAGAAAAGAAAAAATTTTAAAAATAATTATAGAAGTCTATGAAATCAATTCAAAAAGAACTCAAGCATACTTTTAAAATATCCCCCAAATTTACTTATCCATTTCGAGAACTTGACATCATTCATCTTTAGAAGTATTTCAAAGTTTACTTTGATTATTCCCAGAACTCAACACTTTATTATCACAAAGACAGAGAGAGGGGGAGAGGGAAAGAGAGAGAACAAACTCCAAGCCTACAATAAGAGAGTGACTGCTCCCCACTAACCACTCTTACCTGCGATCCTCCGATTTGGGGATGGGGTTGGTGCAGCGCTGGCTGTTATACTTGGCCACATATTCACATTGCTTGAAGGGGGCAGTCTTGTCCTCCAGAACGTGTCTGATGCAGAATGCGTAGCCGTTAAGTCGCCGCTGCTTGCACAGTTTGGGGCTATACGAGCACAAGGGCTTATTGTCAACCTCAGAGAAGTGTATATGTTTCCCTTCATACATCACGTGACTCTATTCCTTGTGAACATCAGCTAAACGTCTACCACACACAAAAAAAGAAAAAAACCCAAATGATAAATCAGATTATAAGACAGAAAGCTAAGAATTTCACTGAGGGACTTGTGGCCCCACAGCCATACCTGAGTTTAAATCTTCTGCACCACAGCAATGTTAAGAGAACCCCAAGGGTACCACAGTTTGGATGCTGCTGAAATCAAGATGAAGCAGACTGTCTACAAAAATATCAAAAGGCCTAGTTAACAAATACATATAATCAAGAATTAAACTGGGGACATAAATTGTTACCACCTTTCTTAATGTGATGGATTCTATGTTGTAATACAACATCTTAATAATGAAGTCAAATAAGAAAATAAAAGGCATTATAAAGTATGTTACCTTTATGTTTACTTTAGAAAGTAACTAAGACATATGTTTATAAAAATATTTAGCAATCTGAAAGAAATGTTTCTGTGAAACACAATCAACTTCAAACTAAACTACATTTACTCAGTCAGGTTAAATTTTTGAACACCCCAAGTAGTCAAGCTCTTCAACCAAATACATATCACAGGTCTGTGTCTTTTTACTTCATTACTGGCAAGTTTTTTGGTTTTGTTTTTGTTTTTGTTTTTTGTGAGACAGGGTCTCACTATGTAAGTCAGGCTGGCTTTGAATTCACTATTTAGCCCAGGCTAGCCTGGAAACTGCAGCAATCCTCCTGCCTCAGACCAGAGTACAAGGATTCAGGTGTGTGCCACCAAGCCTAGCTTTCACCACTAGTGAACATTAGGTTTATCTTCAGAAACCAAATCCCTTTACTATGCTGATGGAATTAACCATAGACCTAGTCTCCCTCAGAAATTCTGTATTTTTAATGGCATTATGGTTTATTTGTAGATGACTGCTCAAAGCCTCAGTGCTCATAGGTGGGGCTTTGGGAGGTGATTAGAACATGGGGGCAAGATATTCACAAGTGGATTAGTCCACTAATGAGTTTACAGGGAGAAGCCTAGTCATGGCCTAGAAGGATCTTGCCTTCCACCCCGCCCACCCCCCATCTCCTTCCTGCTTACCCTGCCATGGACTGTTTCTCCTCTGTGATGCCACCCTGCCTTGGAGCCAGCCGACTATGGACTGAAACCTCTACAAACTGTGAGACAATAAAAAGAAAAACTTCTCCTCCTTTAACTTGTGGGTGTCAGGTATTATGCCTCAGCGATAAAGAAAGTACTAAGTCATATGGTTATAAAAAAATATGGCAATTTGAAATGTTTCCATGAAACACAAAACAGAGCAAATTCCTGCTTTTAAAAACATGCTATTTTCTTCTACTATTCCCCACACCAATCCCATCAAGCTCTAAACTTCTTGAGCCCACAGACTTGTCACCCAACCACAGTTACATTATTTCAGAGTCCTACACCACAGGGAACTCCATGACTCTTCAAATAGGGTGAAGATTATGGCTTGAGTCTTTTGAGAGTGCAGAAGAAAATGAAAAGAAATTACACAATACTTGAGCAACCGATTCAGGACCCCTCCTGTCTTTCAGGAGCTATTCCTTACAAAAAAAAAAAAAAAAAAAAAAAAAAAAAAAAGAAAGAAATTACACAATACATTGCCTTTGTACATACAAAAGGACCAAGGGCAGCACTCATACAATACCATACAGTCCACAGACATGAAACTGAATCTTTTCTACAAAGTCAGGCTCTCAGTGAGCTGACAGTCTAACCCACCCACAGGTAATCAAGATGCTATATGGGGGCCAGAGATTTAGCTCAGTGGTTCGGTGGCCTGCCTTGCAAGCACAAGGGCCAGAGTTCAATCCCCGGTACCAAAAAAAAAAAAAAAAAGATGCTACATGGAACAGCGTAGTTACTGGAAGAAAGACCCTCCACACAAGGGTAGGACAATGAGTGCTTACCATGTCCAAGGTTCTGGGTTCCCTTCTCAAAAAAAAAAAAAAAAAAAAAAAGACAGAAAGAAAAGAAAAAAAGAATTTCTTATACCACTATGTGATGATACATAAATGCTTGAGTTAGAAGACGAGGACTGTCCAAGTCCAAGTTCTGCGTCACTTACTGTGTTACACTGAGCAAATTGTTAACCTCGCTAAATATCTCAATTTTCTCATCTGTAAAACAGCCATAACAGTAGCTATGTTATTACCAGGCTGTTTTAAGGACCAAATAATACAAAGCACACAACACACTTAAAGATCACACATGGCTCACCACATGGCAAGCACTGAATAAACAGAAGTTATTATTGATAATTAATTATATTATTCATAATTGTTAATTCTTATTTTACTAGCTGAGCGTGGTAGTGCATGCCCATAATCCCAGCAGTCAGAAGGCTGAGGCAGGAAGATTACTGACAGTTCAGGTCAGCCTGGACTAAAATGAGACAAATGAGGGAGGCAGTGACAGCATATATGTTGGGGCAGGCATCTCTAAAGAGCACAGCCTGCCACAGAATTATGACTCTGACATTAAATTTTGCTAAAATTAAAAAAAAATGAAAAAACAAAATATACATATAACTGACACTTGTCAATGATGGTGGAGAACCTGCATCGTTCTTGAAAAACATTTCACTCACTTTAGCAGAAAAACAAACACACTCTGAGGTATTTAGCCTAATAAAAATAACACATTACTGATTAAGCCAAATCACACATCCATACAGTATAAAATAAAAATCAGAACTTTTCCTTTTCACTTTACTAGGCTACCAGGGAGAAAAGCTGGACTAAGAATTTAAATGCAGGTACCCCGAAGGTCTGGATATTCAGGACAGGGAATATGTCAAAGGACACCCATGCCATCTTTCAAGTTCATGTTCTCGGTGCTACTACCATCCAACCAGCAAACCCTGCACCTCCACAACCTAATTCCACAAAGGCTATGTGCACTGCAGGGGAAAAAGCCCTGGATACAAATAAATTAAAAAATTTACAGAATTAGTCTGATTGTCTTTATGAAAAGGGAAGTCTACATGTCAATAAACGTGAGAGTATTTTAATCTTAGAAGGCCGAGGGCCAGAATGAGGGATAGGAGGGCTGTTTATGTTTTCTTCTGTATATAAACACATCTGTCAAAATGATGAGTTACCATTTCTCTTATGTTATCTGCCCCCTAATGGAACTGGCTAGAACTGTGGGAACAATGCTGAGTAATAAAGGCAGCATATTATTACTTCTATATTGAATCAAGAATGGCTTCATTAGGAATAACTGATCCCCCCCCCATACCAAGGATCAAACTCAGGACCTTGCCCTCGCAAGGCAGGCGCAGCACCACTGAGCCAAATCCCCCGCCGAAGAACAACACTGATTTTGAGCTGGGCATGGAGGCGCCTGCCTATAATTCCAGCACTCAGGAGGCCAAGATACTCCAGGAGCATTACTCCAAATTCCAGGCCAGCTCGAACCTACAAAGTGAGACCCTGTCTCAAAACAAGAAGAAAAAAAGACAGAGGCTGACTTTTACCCTAAAACATAGTTCCTGCATGTTTCTTAGCAGAACACGTACTTATAGCATATGACTGGGTTAGATCCCTAACACCAAAAAACAAAACAATGTTCTGATTAAGAAGTTTTTCATTTTTTGTTTTCTTGTTCCCTTGCTTGTTGCAGTGCTGGAGGTGGTAGGCAAGCACTCTACCACTCTACATCCCCAGCCCTTGTTTTTTTGTTGTTGTTGCTCTTTTTGTTTTTTGTTTTTGGCACCACTGAGCTAAATCCCCGGGTTTTTTTTTTTTTTTTTTTTTAACTCAGAACTGAAGGCTAATTTACCAAATTCTTCTGCATTGGTGGTGGTAGTGGTGGGTCAAACCCAAGGCCTCAGGCATACTAGGCAAGAGCTTTAGAACTAAGCTCCTCCCCACACTTTTTACTTCTACTTGGGATGGACTGTAAAAGCATTTCTGTTAAATTCCTGGGGGAGGGGGGCCGGGGCCGGGCCCGGGATTTAGCTTATTGGTTCTGCCGCCTGCCTTACAAACTCAAGGACCCAAGTTTGATCCCTGGTACCAAAAAAAAAAAAAAAAAAATTCCTCGGGTTGCCTGGGTTGAAAAAATTGTGCAGCAGTTCAGGTTTTCAAATATATTTGCATACAATTTAGCAAAACAATTTCTAAATATGTGATTCTCATAGTGTGTGCATACATGTTTGTGATATTTGTTTGTTCCCTTTGCTCATGATTGGATTTAAAAGGGTTATCTGTTTAGTATTTTTAACATCTACAAAAAAATTTCTCTTAGATTTACTAGTACCTTAATTTACCTGGTTTTTTTTAAATCTCTGCTAATACTATCCCTCCTATTTTTGTTTCATTTATTCTTTTCTACTCCTTGGGTTGAATCCTTTTATTTTCATTCTTTTCATGCTTTTGTGGTCTATTTACATCTATGAATTTTCCTCTGAGCACTGTCTTAACTATACCTTATAGGTACTAGTACATAGAAGTTTGACTGTCAGTACTTTCTAGCGCATTTGGATTGGAGTTTTTAATCTCTCCTTTAAAAAGAGTCCAGCTAATTTGTGTTTGTTTTTTTGTTTTTGTTTGTTTGTTTGTTTGTTTTGCAGATAGTAGGGGTTATAATGTTCTTTGTTTAAATTCCAGGGACAAAAAAAGAAACATAATCTGCATTATATCTTCAGTTTTTGGACCTAAGATTTTTGTTGGGGCCTAGAAGATTTTTTTTCCAGGACCTTACACTTGTCAGGCAGGGAGCTGGCACCACTGAGCTAAATCCCCAGCCCCAGGGGATGTTGTTTCTTACTAACATCCCTATGTCATTATTTTCTCTGTTTGTTCTATTAAGGCCTAGAAGAGCTGAATCAAAATCCCCTGCTATAACTCAATCGTCCGTTTCTCCCAATATTTTCTATATCTTGGAAACTGGCCTGTCACTTGGTGTGACAGTCACAATACCAGACTGTTGCGTCTTTATCTCAAGGGTGCAGGCCTGCATTTCCAGCTATACCAGAAAGTAAGGAAGGAAGATCTCAAGTTCAAGTACAGACCAGAAGACACCAACCCCTCAACCCCCTCAAAATAAAAACAAAAAGGGCTGGGAATATGGTTACTCATGCCGTGGTGTTCAACTCTCAGAATGGGGAAAAAGAGCGAGAAAAGCCAAAAGAGGCAAAAGAAAAAGGCTCAGGCAGCAGGACTGGAAGGGTTCATTCACCAGCACCACCAAAAAGAAGTGCGACC